ACCCACGCACCAGATCCATCAAGCAATGAGTTTGATTGGGTGCTTCCTTCTGCCAGGGAGCAAGCTAGTGCGTGTCCACATGGCTTCTCTCTTAGTCTCCTAACAGCACAGCAAGCTGGATAGCTGGGCTCTGGTATGCAGGTGGGGAGGCCGAGGCGCAGAGAAGGCAAGTGACTTGTTCCAGCTCTGTGAGTGGCCAAGCCGGCCCCAAGCTCTGTCTGAAATGCTGACGCGCGTTCTCTAAACCTCCCGTGTGAGGTCCTCACGGAGTGCCCCGTGAGACGGTGCTGCTGTGTTGTGCATCGTGATGCCTCCTCTCCCAGAGTTCCTGAGAAGGAGCCCAGTTAAAAGATGACCAAAAGGGGCCGGTGCTGTGGCGTAGCGGGTAAAGCCGCAGCCTGCAGTGCCGGCATCCCATATGGACACCTGTTCGAGTCCTGGCTGCTCCATTTCCAACCCAGCTCTCTGCGATGGCCTGGGAAATCAGTGGAAGATGGCCCAAGTGCTTAGGTCCCTGCGCCCACATGGGAGACCTGGAGAAAGCTCCTGACTTCTGGCTTCAGACTGGTGCAGCTCCGGCCATTGTGGCCATCTGGGAAGTGAACCAGCGGATGGAAGACCTCTCTCTGTCTCTCTCTGCCTCTCTCTGTAACTCTGCCTTTCAAATAAATAAATGTCTTAAAAAATAAAATAAAAGACCAAAAGATCTGAAGAAACTTTCTTCAAAGCACATATACAAATTGCCAGTAAGCACAGAAGTGATGTTTAACCTCATTAGTGATTAGAGAAATTAAGTCCAAACTACAGTAAGATATTTCCCAGCCCCGGGGATGGCTGCAGGCCACAAGATGGACTTCTGCAAGTGCTGGTGGCAACAGCAGTGACACGAAACACCCCTGCATTGTTAGAGGAAGCTAAACTGGCACAGTTACTTTGCAAAAATTCCTTGAAAATTTAAATATAAGCTTACCAAACGACCCAGCAATTGGACTCCTAGGTATGTACCTATGGAGTAAAAATCATTGACCTGCACCAAAACTGATATGCAAATATCCTTTATAGTGTTCTTCATTATATATAAAAAAGTGGAAACAGGTGTTGAAAGCAGATAGGATGTACCAGTCAATACACAGTGTGTGGTGTGTCCATGTGATGGAATAGTATTCTGCCAGGAAAAGAATGAAGTTCTTTAAAAAAAAAAAGATTTGTTTATTTACTTTGAAAGAATTATAGAGGGGTCAGCACTGTGGCGCAGCAGGTTAACTCCCTGGTCTGAAGCTCTAGCATCCTATATGGGCGCTGATTTGAGACCCGGCTGCTCCATTTCCAATCCAGCTCTCTGCTGTGGCCTGGGAAAGCAGTGGAGGATGGCCCAGGTCCTTGGAGGGTTAACCAATGGCAAAAAGGAAGACCTTTCTCTCTCTTTCTCACTGTCCACTCTGCCTGTCAAAAAAAAAAAAATAGTAATGAATCCGTTGCTGGGGTGTAGGGGTGAGGGCAGGCTTGGGCCAGGGGAAGGGGTGTGATGAGAAGAGCACTAGACTGAGGGTTGATGCTGGGGGCCCTTATTAGACTCACAGAGCCACGCCCACCCCCTCTAAGCACCTGTCCCCCTTCTGCGTGGCGGTGGGCCCGGCCACAGGGTGGGTCAGGCAGCTTTGCCTTCTCCCTGCCTACTCCTTGCCTGAGGTCTGTCATGCAGAGGATGGGGGGCTGGCACAGGGGGTCCCAGAGCCCTGGCTGCACGAGACAGCAACAGCAAAGCCAAGCACTCACCATGGAAAGTTCACGGGTGGGGGCGGCCTCGTTCTGGTTGCCTCGCGTGGCTGACGAGTGGCTGGAGAGGCCGCAGGAGCCGCGTTGGGTCCCGAGGAGGGACACCGGCTTACGGCGGCCTCGTGGGCGAGCCCCTCCAGCCTGGGTTTTTCTCTAATGCTGGGCCCTCGGATCTGGTCCGGCGGCCAAGGCTCTCTCCCAGACCCACAAAGTGCCGCGTGCAGCTAATGGCTCCTATAATGAGAGATTGACGACTCCCGGGCTTTCAGCCGTGGCTCCAACCTCATTTACGCAGCTCTCAGCCCGCAGTCTCTGCAGGCTGCATGCGCGCGGCTCAGGCCGGTGCAGCCGAGCGGACCGGGTGCGGGGAGCCGCGTGCTCCTGCAAATGAGCCCTGTGCTCCTTGTGGCAAGGGACACTCATGCTGACGCGGGACGGGAGAACCTCTGTGTCCTGTTGATGTAATGAGTGCTGAGCTGACGGGGCCCAGGGACTCGGGGAAGGGGGCCGCCAGCGCCCAAGCCCCGCACTGCTCCAGCTCCCCGTCCACAGGGGTCTCCGAGACGGCCCATTGCTCTGCTCTGCGTGTTGGTTGGTCTCCAGCCCTGAACTAAGAGCAGATCGTTTATCCTCGCTCATCCCACACGAAGTCGCCTGGCTAATGAGGCTGGTGACGGGGATCCTGCTGCAACCTGCGTCTCACTTAGGGTGGAGCTGGGCCACTGTGGCGCAGTTTTCTGCCACTGCCTTAGCTGCAGGGGCACAGTCGGGCCCCTCTGAGATCAAACCTCCCTGTGACTTTCAACACCACGGAGCGGGGTCCTCGCTCAGTGAGTCTGAAACAGACAATGCACGATGACGCGAAGGCTGCCAATTTCCACTTAGTAAGAGAAGCAAGCGATGGTGGAGGTGGCCACCCCTCCCGTTCCCTCTGCCTCTGCCCAGACACCGCCTGTCCCCGCCCTGGTAGGGGCTGGTGCTGCTCGACCTGACGCAGTGTGGGCCGTGGGGAGTTGGTGCCTCTACCCCATCCCGGCTGCAGAATTCGAGTCTCCCAGGGTGAAGAGGTGGAGGACCGGATGGTGGTGACGGCTGCACAGGAGTGTGAGTGTGCTAAATGTATCCGTACTGCACACTTACAGATGATGAGATGGATAGTCTATGTTGTATGTGTTTTACCACAATCGTGTCTTAAAAAGCAACTGGTTAGAGGCGATGATGGAACCTAGCCGTGCTACCACAGGGCTCCTCACGTGCTGGGCGCCTCCCAGGCCGGATCCCTCCTCCCCAGGGTGCCTGCGCTCCCCGCCCCTCTCACCCAGCACCTGGCTCGGCACCTCGGGGACATTAGACGTGGGGAAAGGTTTGCTGCCCTGAGGCGGTGACGTGCAGGCGTCACAGGGGACAGAGCGATTCACACGCCTGGCACATGTGGTCGTCCTCACTGTCCTTGAGGCCAGCAGCCTCACCCCGAGCAGAATAAACAATTCTCTCCAGAGAGGCAACCTTCCCCATCCCCCAGGTGCCACGTGGAAGCAGAGCTGGGGTTCCCTGGCCTGCACCCCAGGGGTCAGGGGACGGTGCTGCAGACTCCGGGGGTCGCAGCTCAGTTAACCCCGAGGACTGCAGGATTCAGTGGGCAGGGTTAAAACAGCACATGTGGATAGCAGCGCACTCCAGTTCTGGTTCTGGGGCCCCAGTACATGACAGCGCCGGGTGGTTCACCCACTTTTAGTTCCCAGCCCTACAGAGCGTACTGCGGTCCTCCTCTCTGATGGGGGAGCCACTGAGGCCTCCCCGGCGGTGGCGTTAGGATGTGGTGGCATTTGCGTCTCCTCCTTCCCCAGACACGGGGATTGTTAGCGCTGGGCCATTTGGAGGGGTGGAGCTTGGCAAGTCACTTAATGGCAGCTGTGTCCTCACATATACCGTGCTCTCCCCAAAGCCGGTGCATACTGAGGGCACCGTGTGCCTAGCGCTTAGCCACGTGTGGCTCATGGCGACTTTGCCATAACAGGTGGCCCTGGGATGTGGCAGTGACGCTGGCCACATGATGGGTCTGGAGCTGGCGAGCCTGCTTGCATAAAGACCCAGGCCCTTTCCCAGGGGGTGGGGCTACTCCCCTTGGAAAGCGGTGTCTTTCATTTGAAAGGTGGCTTGATGAGTAACGCAGTTCACCACAGCTCCATCTGCCTGGGTGTTGGAAGGTCACCCTGATCCTGTAATTCCTCTATGCTGGTCCTGGCTTAGCTCAGGGTTTGTTGAGAGAGGTCTCCAGCTCATCACTGGCTCCATGCATGGCGATTCTGTTGGATTCTAACTGTTGTTAGAACTATGAATCACCTAAATGTGGCTGGGGATAAATTACAGGACAATGTTTATTATAATTTAGTGTCAATAAAGGTTTATTTAATTAATTGAAAACCAGAGCTACGGATAGACAGGGATCTTCCATCTGCTGGTTCACTCCCCAAATGGCCTCCATGGCCAAGGCTGGGCTGGGCCAAAGCCAGGAGCCAGGAGCTTCTTCCCCGTCTCTCGCATGAGTGCAGGGATCCAAGTACCCAAGCCATCCTCTGCTTCTTTCCCAAGTGCATTAGTTGGATCAGAAGTGGAACAGCTGGTGCTCGCGCCGGTGCCCATATGGGATGCCAGCATTGCAGGCAGCAGCTTAACCCACTGCGCCACGGCACCGACCCCAAAGATGTTTTATTAAAGGGTAGCAGAAGCGTTCTTGTAATCGCTCGCGCGTGAGCAGACTCTCATATTGCCCAGTTTTCGAGATGCACTGGTTGGCTAAATGACTGAACACTGTAATGTCATCTTGGTCTATTTTAACATGAAGGAAACTTTCAAACACACAAAAAGTGCTATCTGACAAAATAAGTGAAAAAGGTTTTATTTCTCCGAGGAAATGGGGGGAACTGGGCAGCAGATACATCAGGTCTTTGTCTCAGACGCAGCAGGGTCCTGCAGAAAACTTTCAGTGCTGCTCATACAAACTTGCTTTCCTCGTGCAAGGAGCCCGGGCGGGGGCATCACAATGGTGGCTGCGGTGCCCTGGTTACCGTGTCAACATTCCGGTGACCTCACACACCCACGGTGCACTGGGGCTCAGCCTGGGCAGGGCGTGCGAGCCCAGCTCATTCCGAGAGCAGTTACACTTGGAAGCTGCTGTTTTTCTTTCGTTGGGCCAAGTCCATCCTTGTCAGAGACCTCAGAGACGGAGTGAAGTGGGTTTCCCACACCTGGGACCGTGAGCAAACTGGGGAAGGTACGTGAGGCTATTACCCTGAGCGAGACGTGGGATCCCAGCAGCACTCGGGTCCATGTGCTGGGTGCAGGGGACAAGGGGGCAGTCAGACCACTCGCTCCGAAGGCCCAGGGGACAGATGGTTCCGGAACAGCATCAGGACCCTGCTGTGGGTTGGACTGTGCTCCCCAGCGAGATGTGTTCAAGGTCTAACCCCTCCCTGTGCATGAGGCCTGTTTGGAAACAGGGCCTTGGCAGAGGTCATCATGCTGAGCTGGACTCGTGCTGGAGCGGGCTGGACCTGACCTCCAGTGACTGGTCGCCTCACAAGGAGAATTTTGGAGGGAGGGGAGCAACACACAGCAAGGGTAGATGTAGAGGTCAGAGCAAGACTACTCCAAGCCTGGGAGGGGGCCTGCTGGCACCCGCTGGCAGCTGGATGGGTGGGGAAGGGCCGTGGCCCTGCTGACCCCTTGGTGTCTGCCCTCTCGGCTCCAGAACTGTGAGGGAATAAACCCCCTCTGCTTGTGGCCATTAGTTCTGGGATCAACACGTCTTGGAGGGCTTCTAAGAGGAGGTGATCCAAGCTCTACCAGGGGTGAGGAGTGGGGAGTTAGCCCAATGGGACGGTCAGGAAGGCAGCACCCAAGACCAAAGCCACAGCAAGCCCCAAGCCGTCCGCATCTGGAAGTGGACAGATTCCTGTCCTGGGCTCCCTGAATCCCCAAGGCCTGCAACGTGTGGCCGGGACGTGAGGCCCTGGCCAGGGGATCGGGCAGAACCTGCCAGGAGACAAGCCCGGTGGGGTCACCAGCTTGATCATGACCTTGCCGAGACCGGCAGCAGAGGGGACCTCAAACACGTGTGATGGGCACAGCCTGTGTCGCAAGATGAAGCCAGCCTGGGCTTTGAGCTGGCCAGTGGAGGTGAGGTGTGGAGGGGGCCTCGTGCCTTTCTATTGCGAGTGACAGGAGGTAATGATGCTCGCCGAGGTGATGGGCGCGGGAGGAGGATGAAGAGGCGGGGTTAAAGGAAGTTGGTTGGTTCCCTTTGGGAAAAATTGAGCTCGAGGTGACTCGGAGGCAGCTGGCTCGAGGGCCGGGGCTCGCGGGCACCTGGGCCCTTCCTTGGCCAGGTTGGTCCTGAGGATTTGGTAAAAAGGCAGACAGAACACAGGGGCCAGGGAGACAGAAGTATGGGGCTCGAGAGGTGGAGAGGGAGGCCGTGTGGTCCCTGGAGTCATGGAGGGGAGCCTGCAGAGCCTGGGGGACCCTCTGTCCGTCTTGGGGGACCATCAATTCCGTCTGAATCTGAGAGCCGTCTGTGCAAAGCGTCGGAAATGCGCATTGTTGAAGGCACAGGGAAGCAGCGTGAGTGTTGAGTCCTCTCCCACGAGAACGGGGCAGGCGTTGGCATCGGTCCAGCGGGGATCCGGGAGCGGCCCCTCTGCCTTCTACACATGATGCAGACGTGGAACACGCGTGCGGTCACGTGGCTCAGAGGCTTCCGATATCTCCGATGATAAGCGTGCACTGTCAGTGCCTTCCTGTGTCTCCATGTGGATGTCACATTGGACCTTTTTTTCGGACCTTCCGCTCTTCCAGTCCTCTGACCTGTGCTGGGGGGGGTGTTAAGGGTGCACTCGAGATGTCCGTGTTCTCCCTGGGACCGGGGGCCATGTTGTCTTCCACAGCAAAAGGCGCTTTGCAGGTGTGCCTCTGTCAACCTCGAAACGTGATTAAGAGCGTCACCAGGAGACGGGGGTCCTGGGTTAGCGAGCCCAGTCCAATCCCGGGGTCCCTATCAGAGGGAAGCAGAAGGGAGGTGACTGTGGGATCAGAGGTTGGGACGATGCTGGGCCACGGGCTGACGAGGGTGCTGGCCTCTCAGATCTGGAAAAGACAGGGAGTAATCCCCCCAGCCCTTCAGCAAGGAGTGCAGCCCTGCTGGCCCTGTGGGACCCGGGTTGGACTTCGGGCAAGCAGAGCTGCACCATGGTAGCGCGTGGTCATTGTTAGAGCAACCACGGCCGCTCTCCCGTGGCTCCTCCGCCCCGGGTCAGTTCCCCTTCCTTGCTGCAGGGGGCACGTGCCTCCCGGTGGCCGCTGGTTGCTGCGTGTCGATGCGTTCTAGGCAACAGGGCTGTGACTCACACCCCTGCATCCGTTCCAGTAATCCTGTGAGGCAGGCACCCTGCTGTCTCCGTTGCACAGGGAGGAACCCAGGGGTGCTCAGAACTTGCCCAAGCACATGTGTGTGGAGAGCTGGGATTACCCCCTAGGACTCTGGTTGCGTTGCGATGCCTTTGTCACCACTGAAGCTGCAGCTTTAATGGCCGCCTGGAGCCTGGCTCCTGCTCATTAACCAGGTAACGGGGCCATTTCTTAAACGTTGGCTCTGCATCCCGTCCCTCGGGCCTGACGCCTTCCGAGCTGCGTGCGTGCAGGAGGCCCTGCTGCCTGTGTTTTCTGGGTGCACAAACTCAGAGGCTGAGCTGGGTGCAGACTCCGATCTGTCTGGCCGCAGTTATTCACCCATTCATGATGTCACACAGCCGGAGCCACGTGGTTTCCGTCTTTGTCCATTTTACTGTCAGTTCTTCATGATGCATCAGGAATCTACTAGAATCCACTAGAGCTTTCAGCTGTTACAGTTGCAGGTCACACAAAGTAACCTGTGCCCATTGTCTGATGACCCGGCGCCACTCAGTGACGGTCATGGGTGGGCTCATGGTCATCTAAGGACGATACATCTGGCCAGCCCTTGGTCAGGTCAGTGGTGACTTGGAATTCTCTCGAGCCGTGTCCTGACCCCTTGGAAAAATCTGCCAAACTTGAAAATGTTGCCCAGTGAAATTCTGTAAATTCTATCTAAAATTTTAAGCGAACTCTTCTGATGAGTTGATAACGACAGGACTCTGATGTAGAGCGCGATTTTCTTAACATTCTTCTTTCTCATCACCGGCTCCGACAGGTGGGGGGGGACCAGTCGTCAGAGCCATTTGAAAAACCTCCTCCCCAAGAGCATCTCCTCTGGGGAGGCACCGTTGCCCCCCTGGGCTGGGGGCCGGGGCCTCCGGCTGGGCTTGTTCACCGCCTGCCTCCTGCCCAGTCCTGCTGCACCCAGGACGCAGGTTGCTGTGGGGACCTTGGGGGTTGCTGGGCTCAGGCCCCGCCTCTTACGTCTCCTGTAGAAAGCCCCGCGCTGGGAGCTTGCGTCTAAGGGCGCCTTTTCCTCACCAGGGCTCAGGGCTCCAGGAGGCAGGCAGGGCAGGTCGTGGAGGAGGACGCCGGGGCTCAGTGCGGTCTGTCGGTGTGTCCATCATTGCCAAGTTAGTGACCAGGCGGCCAGGCGAGAAGCCTGGGCCTCTGTTTTGGTCCACTGCTCGCACCCTGGGCCCCGACGATAGGTTTGGCTGTACTGGGATAAGCACTCGCGTAGACACGCACGTGGGGGATTTTACTCAGTGTCTCACAATATGGTCACGAAATGATCTCAAATGTCCCCAGACAGTCCCAAAATCAGTGTGTGGGTTCCCTGTCGCTCCTCCAGAGAGGGTCGTGTTAAGAGGTGGGACACGAGCAGGTCCTGTATTTCTGCCGTTCTAAACCTTCGTGGTGTTGGGGAACCTGTGACTGGTTTTCTCTTGTTCTGGTATGAACTGTTTAATTGTGACTGAATCCGTGGGACACCATCCGTGGGACACCAACAGCCGTTAAGAGGAAGGAAACTGGCATTCGGAAAAACTGAGCGATTAGGGCCTCCAGGAGCACGCGTGGAAGGCAGGACGTGCGGGGTGATGGAAGGGTGTGCACGGTTTATCAGACCGGCGGCTGCTGCATTCACCATGGCCTAGTGCAGTAGGCAGTAGGTGACGTGCAACTTCATGCTGAAGTTAAATATTCCATTTTATCTTTTCATGTACTAAAAAGCAGCAATATATTATCTCCTTTCACCTAGGATTACGGGGCCAGCCGTGCAGTACACACGACCCAATTGCCTTTAGAAACCTCCAGTCTGATGGTGCAGAGGGGAAAGCCGGCGTCACCGAGGTAACACGCGTTTGTAACTTGTGCTCAGCAAAGCACACCCTGCCGGGAAGCCTGGTCCCCAGGCTGCTTACGATGTGACAGTGCTGTGTTTTGTTCAGTCAACAATTGAGTTAGGTTAACAGAAAATCCAGCCACCAATGCCTAGGCCTTGTTATATAAAAGTGCACACTGAGTACTTGGTTCTTGCTTTATGCCCTTCACCAACAGCTTGTAAGTCTGCAGTACCACCGGCCAGTACAGGGATTGGCCCAACTCTAAATCAAAATTGATCTTCTGGGGAGAGAGGCCATGTAGAATTTTGAAGGTGAGAGGAGGTGTTTGAAATCTCACAAGCTGGTGTGGGTTCCTGTAGCTGCACAAAGTATCAGGGACTGGAAATAGAACGTTAGGGGTCGTGTTTATAAAATGAAATAGATATTTTTAAGTTATTTCTTGATTTGAAAGAAAACTCTCAACCCCCTGGTTCACTCCCCAAATGCCCACAACAGTCAGGACTGGGCCAGGCCAAAGCCAGGAGGCAGGAAGGCCATGTGGGTCTCCCACCCAGGATGAAGGCCGTGTGTGTCTCCCACCCAGGAGGAGGAAGGCCGTGTGGGTCTCCCACCCAGGAGGAAGCAGCACTGAGCCATTGCCGCCGCCTCCTGGTGAGCGTTAGCAGGAAACTGGGACAGGAGCAGGGCTGGTGCCCACACCCAGGGACTCTGGTCTGGGACACAGACATCTCCAGTGAGGGCTTGATTGCTACGCCAATCACCCATCCTCCCTTTTTAAAAATGTATTTTATTTACTTAAGAGGTAGAGAATGAGAGAGAGAGAGAGAGAGAGAACAGAGAAAATGCAATGTTTAGATTCTGCGGAATCAAGCACTCTGCACACAATGGTTAATATTGCCAACTTGTCACATGACAGGCTCTATCTAATTGACTAATTCATTTCATCTTCCCTTGGTCTCAGGAGGGAAGTACTTTAAAAAAGAGAGAGAGAGAGATTATTGGGGCCAGCCCTGTGGCACAGCAGGTTAAAGCCCTGGCCTGAAGCACTAGCATCCCATATGAGCTTGAGTTCTAGTCCCAGCTGCTCCTCTTCTGATCCAGCTCTCTGCTGTGGCCTGGGAAAGCAGTAGAAGATGGCCCATGTGCTTGGGCCCCTGTAGCTACGTGAGAAACCTGGAAGAAGCTCCTGATTCCTGACTTTGGATTGACTCAGCTCCAGCTATTGCAGCCATTTGGGGAGTGAACCAGCGGATGGAAGACCTCTCTCTCTGTCTCTACCTATATCTGTATTTTTTCAAATAAATAAAGACAAATCTTTCAAAAACTATTATTTATTTGAAAGGCAGAGTGAGAGATATCTTCCATCCGCTGGTTCATTCCTCAAATGCTCACAACAGTCAGGTCTGGGCCAGACAAAAGCCAGGAGCCACAAGTTTCATCTGGGCCTACCACCTGGATGAGAGGGGCCTGAGCACTTGGGCCGTCTTCCACTCTCTTCCCAGGCACATTAGTAGGAAGCTGGGCCAGAGCAGAGGCGCTGGGACTCAAACCATCACTCCAACGTGGGGTGCAGGGCCACAAGCAGCCGCTTAACCCGCTGTACCACACACCAGCCCCAGGAGGCGCTGGTCAGTACTCATTCTGCAGATGAGAAAACTAAGTCTCCTAATTTAAGCTGCTCGGACCCCAAGCCCCCATTCTTATGCTCTCCCAGGCTCTTCCCAGTCGGCAGAACTTGAAACACGAACTTGCTCACCTTAAAGAGCTGTCCAAGATGTTACAGCTTACAAGGCACCTGCTGGCTGCCACAATGGGATGTTCTGCCGCCATCTTTGTAATTCTAAGAGAGAGGACTTGCAGGAATCTCTCTCCTAGCGAAAGCCTCAGTTAGGAACATATTTTTCCCCAAGTGCTTGTCCGAGGCATGATTTTGATTTCATAAAGCTGACGTTCCCCTCAAAGACGCGAGGCTGGAAGTCCCGCAGGACAGAGGGAGATGCTGTCTTAGGCCCTGAGATTTAGCCGTCAATGTTTAAAGGCTTTTCTATGTGAAGCCCCAAGGTCAGTGTCTCGAGATAGAAACATACACAGCTGTGATTAATCTGTTCCCTTGGGAGCAGCATCAGGAAACCCAGGTAACGGGAGGAAAATGAGTAGGAGGAGCCTGGATCCTTGACAGCTGCCCCAGAAGGAGATGCCGGGGTCAGGGGGTGTCCGGGTGGATGTGGGGGTGCTGCAGGATGGTCCCGCCCTTTAAGAGGGGACAGGCTCTCGTCTCGTCTGCTGCTCCATACGTGGACTTGGCCAGTTGTAACATTTTCCTTCGATGTCAAACAAACAAGAACTTGGTCATTGATGATGATACGGATCTCAGGGGCTGTGTGGCTGGATCCCTACAGGGGTGCTTCCCAAAGCTGTCGAAAATGGAATTACAAGTTTATTTTGGTATAAAAATTGTTTGTTGAGATTCATGTATAGTTTTTAATCATAACATGCATTTTCATGAACTTGTTGGAGACCTCTTGTGTAACACACACACACACACACACACACGAACACGTACACTCTCTCACACACACGTACACTCTCACACACTCACACACGTACACTCTCACATACACACACATACATTCACACACACACGTACACTCTTTCACACACATGCACACTCACACACATGTACACTCTCACACACACGTACACTCACACACATGTACACGCACACACGTACACTCTCACACACGTACACTCTCACACTCACACACATATACTCACACACACGCACACTCACACACATGTACATGCACACACGTACACTCTCACATACACACACACACTCACACGTACACTCTCTCAACACTCACACACATACACTCTCACACACACATGTACACTCTCACACACACGTACACTCACACACATGTACATGCACACACGTACACTCTCACATACACACACGCACTCATGTACATGTACACTCACACACTCACATGTACACTCTCTCACACTCACACACATACACTCTCACATACACATACACTCACACACGTACACTCTCTCACACACATGCACACTCACACACACATGTACACTCTCACACACGTACACTCTCACACACTCACATTAGGTTACTTTCTGTGACTCAGTTAAATAACTCTCAGAAATCACATCTTCTCAATATCTGCTCTGAAATTCCTGGATCAGTCACGTGAGTTTCCAATTTCCCTTCACACTTGGAGCCTTTTAAGCTTGTCCTGGGGTGTGTGTGTGTGTGTGTGTGTGTGCATATGTATGTGTGTGTATCTGTGTGTATATGTATTTATGTATGTGTAGGCATGTGTGTACGTAGCTCTGTGTATGTGTGTGTATGTATGTGTAAGTATGTGTGTATTATGTGTGTGTGTATGCGTGTGCGTGTGTGTGTTATGAAGCTGCTGTCAGATGATGAAACATAACACCAGACCTCCTACTTTAGTGGCTGCCATGAACCCCCACCTCTCTTCGAGAGCCGGGCCAAGGCTGGCCGCTTCTTCACAGATTCCTCCGAGCTGAAGCAGGGGTGCCGGCACCCCCTGTGAGCCATCATTCGAAGGGACTGAAATAAGGGGCAGAGTTCTCAGCTTGAAGGAAAAGGTTGACGTTTTCTGATGCTCAAAGTAATAGACTGATAATAAAAGTAATGACAACCGCATGTAGAAACTTGGAATACAGAAATGCATCAATAAGGACGTCTTCCCGCCCTTTTTCCCATGCATTTGACAAAAGCACGAGACTCTCTCGCATATCAACTTTTATTGCCCTCTTTTATTATATACTGTTCCATCACAAACGATTTCCCACTTAATTTGTCATTTTTATTTTTAATTTCTTGGGGAAAAATATGTTCCTAACCGATGCTTTTGCTATGAGAGATTCCTGCAAGTCCCCTCTCTTAGAATATAAGATCCAGTTGTGCTTGCCATGGTTTCCTTACGCGCTCTTTAAAAAATCGATTGTTGGTGGCTGCCGGTGGCTGGGGGAGAAGGGACGGGGACTTATTCTTTAATGGTACAGGGCTTTTATTCTTCAAGATGAAAAGAGTTCTAGAAATAGGTAGAGGTGATGATTACACAGCATTATGAGTATTTTTTAATACCATTGAGCTGTACACTTAAAAATGGTTTAGGTGGCAAATTCTATGTGTATTTTTGTTTTGTTTTTGTTTTTGTTTTGGCAGGCAGAGTGGACAGTGAGAGAGAGAGAGAGACAGAGAGAAAGGTCTTCCTTTTGCCGTTGGTTCATCCTCCAATGGCCGCCGCGGCCGGCACGCTGCAGCCGGCACACCATGCTGATCTGAAGCCAGGAGCCAGGTGCTTCTCCTGGTCTCCCATGGGGTGCAGGGCCCAAGTGCTTGGGCCATCCTCCACTGCACTCCCGGGCCACAGCAGAGAGCTGGCCTGGAAGAGGGGCAACCGGGACAGAATCCGGTGCCCCGACCGGGACTAGAACCTGGTGTGCCGGCGCCGCAGGCGGAGGATTAGCCTAGTGAGCCGCGGCGCCGGTTTTCTATGGTATGTTACCAGCAAAAAATGGGAAAAATGGGTTCGTGTTGACTGTTGACTGCTACACATTACAAGGCATTGAAGCCTTCAGTGTTGAGTACATGCATCGAAACACAAAAGTCACCCCACGGCGAGTGAGAACAGGCTGAGGTTTCCCACCTGTCTCAGAACTCTCCCCCTGCGGTTACATACCGGAGCCCCACTGTCCGAAGCCACAAGGTCTCCAGGTTGGCAGGCTCCTGCCGATCAGGAGTCTGGCGCCTCCGAGGTGGGTCAGCAGGTTCACGGAGGTCACTGGGCATGAAGCTGTGAGAGAAGTGGCCGGAAGAGTTGTGGGTGGCAGAGCAGCAGTGGGAAGGGAAGAACTGTCACGGAGAGGGAAGCCCAGGCTCCAGCGGTCCAGGTCGGGTTAGATGCTTATCCTTGGGAGAAAGACACTGCGGGCACGGAGGCAGCCTCGCTCCCG